AGAAGAAGAAGAAGAAGAAGAAGAAGAAGAAGAAGAAGAAGAAGAAGAAGAAGAAGAAGAAGAAGAAGAAGAATCTGACACCGAAGATGAAAAAAGGGAAAAAATCCCTATGGCTATGGCTCTGCCTCAACGCGGAGGGAAATAGAGGAGCAGGAGGAGGAGGACAGGAAGAAGAAGAAGAAGAAGAAGAAGAAGAAGAAGAAGAAGAAGAAGAAGAAGAAGAAGAATCTGGTGCAAGATGAAAAAACAAAAACAAATCGCTATGGCTCTGGCTCTGGCTCAACGGGGAGCGAGGCAGAGGAGGGGGCGGAGGAGGAGGAGGAGAAGGAGAAGAAGAAGAGGACGAGGAGGAGGGAAAAAGATGAAGAAGAAGAGGACGAGGAGGAGAAACAAGAAGAAGAGGAGGAGGAGGAAAAAAGATGATGAGGACGAGCACAAGGAGGACGAGATGAGGAGGAGGAGGAGGAGGAGACGAAGAAGAAGAAGAAGAAGAAGAAGAAGAAGAAGAAGAAGAAGAAGAAGAAGAAGAAGAAGAAGAAGAAGAAGAGGAGGCAGAGGAGGAGGAGAGAAGACGAAGAAGCAGAAGAAGAGGAGGAGGAGGAGAGGGTGGCGTAAAAGAAAACCACGAAAAAGAGGACGAAAAGAAGAAGAAGAAGAAGAAGAAGAAGAAGAAGAAGAAGAACATCAAGAAAAGAAAAAGAAAAAAAGAAAAAACTAAACTGCCGGACCTACCTTCACGGCTATGGGGGGCGGTTGCAATGAAGCGGGCTGGCGGGGAGAAGCAGCTGCAGGGCTATGTCGATGGTGGGCTGGAGATGGGGCGCTGACGCTGGTTATGTTGTCGCAGCACATGACGTCGAAGTGGATGCTGAATGGCGCAACGTCAATGTCGCGTGCTGCTGCAGAGGACTGGGGCAGGCGGGGCGAAGGCAGGCGAAAGCAGGCCACAAGGAGATTTGAAAACGCGGCCGATTTCGGCCGGAGATCCGCAGATCTGCGGTCGAAATCGACCGCGTTTTCAAATTCGAAAACGGGGGCCTACCGTACCCCGTTCTCTTCAGAAAACGCGCAGCTGATCTCCACTGTCGATCTGCACCGATCGGCAGCAGAGATTGGCCGTTAATTTTCTTAAGAAAACGGGGTCCGGTAGACCCCGGTTTTCTTCCAAAGTGGTGGCGGCGGCCTCCCAGAGGCTGGGTGGGGACGGGGACGCCTGAAAATCCCCAGTACCCCCCCCCAAACGCAGTGCGCTCGATTGAACCGGGGGCCTGCCGGTCTGGTGAACCGCCCGGTCCGACCAGCAGGCTCCCGGTTGGTCGAAGGTCCCCCGGTCCATCCGGGGAACAGCACTGGTGAAAAAGCTATTTTTTGAATTTTTTTCCTTACAGTTTCCTGATTCATACATTCACACCGTGTGGCGCGCATGCAGGACTTGCGTGCACGTGATGCACCGCAAGTGTGGAATATAATAAATCCTAGATGCTGACATATGCTGACTTTTTTTTTTCAAATAAAGGTTGTGCAGGCTGAGGTATAGGCAGGCCCTACCCTGACGGCCAGTGCTTTAATCACACTCCCACGACACACCCAGGGCAGAGCGGGGCGTTCCAAGGCGGGAGACTCCCAATGGTACCCAGTCCCTCAGCAACCCTCCCCCTTCCCCAACTGTGTATGTTGTAAGCACAGCCAGCAGGACGCTCAACGGGCAAGACCCCCAATATAACGACATATGCTGACTTCTATTCCTCTTATGATATGTAGATTGTTTTTCCTCCGGGCACAGCACCCTAAAGGGGTCTACTAGGCCCCTCTTTGTCATTAAGTTATGGAAAGGCAAGGCTTCTTCCCACACTGCTCCTTCCAAACCCCTTGCCCCCCCCAACATTCTGTCCGTTGCTGGTTCCTGTGCTGCATTCCAGTCTTCCCCTAATATCATGTGTCCGTCATTATCACACAATACCAGTATTCCTTCCATCATTTGCACTCAATGTACCGCCGTGTCCGGACTGTATAATGAAACTAGTCTATATTTCTCTAACTTCTCTTCATGCAACTGGAAGTTCAGATTCAAACGCCTTCCTTACCACTTGTCCTTTTCGTGACCTTGTACCGTGATACTCTTGGGTGCTCTGGAGTTTTTGTGCAAGAGGATGGCCGTACCTGACGAATGTGGCCTGCTTGCTGACATTTTCCTGTTTATTTTCTGGCGCTCTTCGGACTCAGTCGTGCGTGTCTCTTGCAAGCATAAAATATCTGGCGTGTCTGCGTCATACCAGCCCACATATCTCATTATGGGCATCGCCACACCACTCTCAAAATGTGTAAAATGAGAATGAACTTCGCGCTAGACCATGGCCAGATGCACCTACCCCATTTTTGTCTTTTTCACATTCTGAGAGTGGTGTGGCGAGGCCCTATGTCGTTCCACTTTTCTGAATTGCTGAGAACTGTGGCCAGGCCGTTTATATGCCATGAGATAATCCTTAATTCCAGCTGCAGCATCTGTCCGGCCTGCTGTACCCTCCTTTTTCTGATCTGCGCTCCCCCCCCTCTTTCCATTTAAAACTGTTTGTTTTGGGGGGCCTCCGTATTGGCTTGCTTGCTGAGAATGTTCAGGATCCGCCCATAGACAGGTCTATCAAAACCGTTGGATAAGCAGTTGTGCAGGATGAGAGTGGAGCGTGCGACTACTGCCTGTGTGGCGGATGCCTTGTGTGGTGTTGTGTGTGTGTGTGTGTGAGTTGAAGGACACTACAGCCATGCAGGGGTGGGGTGAATATCAAGACCATTGTACACCGTGTCATGGCTGTAGTGGTTAAGAGACTCGGCTCTTGAGGCTGAGGGCGCCGGTTCGAATCCGTGCTTGCACGGAGGAGGTCCTATGGCTGATAATGTACAGACTCTATCCTGGTTGCCCCTGCTACCATTTTCTTCTCCATGAACTGTGGGATCCACCAAAATATGTCACATGCCACCACCATGGTACGACTTCGAGCCACCCCCTCCGCTCCCACTTCCCCTCCCAAGAGCCCATATGGTATGGTCTCCACCACCTGCCAGGGCATCCAGATCAGGTCTCCCTTTAGCTCCACAGTGCTCTGTGATTTTATAAGAATCGATCTCAAGTCCAGAGAGTGAGTCTTGCCCCCCTTATCTTCCCATACCTCCTTTTCCTCTCTTGCCTCACCCAGTACATGCGCTCTTGTTGCCACCCTCATGCCTGCTACCCCTTTTCCGGAACGTTTGCCTCATATATGATTCACCATAGCTGCCTTGAATGCCTTGCTTTTCGTTCCCTGCAAACGATCATCATCCCCACGGTGCTTAAGGGGGTAGACCTTAACTATCTTTTTCATTTCTTTTGAAATGAAAGGGGGTATCCCTTAACCTTATTGGATTCATCCAAGTCCTTCAAGGCTTCAAGAGGATTCAAATTTCGAACACATGACCTGTTTATTAACAGTTACTGAGTTACATGCATATATCGCTTAGCCACATGAGCTAGGACCTGCCAGGTACATCCCAACCTTTTTTTCGTTTTCTTTTTTTTGTGGAAAATGTCCCTCCCGAGTCCCAACCTATATCTGTTATCTTAAGATTCTTAACTTATCTACTCTCATTCCTACTCTCTTGCACATGGAGCTGCAGTGGCCTTTCTTTCTTTTTTTTTTTTTTTTTTTTTCTGAAATGCAGTGGCCTTTCTTGTTGTCGTTGTCTGAAAGAAAGAATTTCAAAGAACCCTACAGGAAATGGTATGGTGAAGCATTTACAATGCAGTCATTGAACTCACACACACAAAAAAATAAGAAGAAAGAAAAAAGGACGAAACTTTTATGGTCTCGAACACCCTGTACGCTTGTTCAGTGGCTACAGTCGTCCCCCGAATACAACGTACGGTGATTATAGCTGAATTTAGACTGAAAGACGCACCAAATTTAGCTATAATGACCGTACGGCGTACGTTGTATTCGGGGGAAGGCTGTAGAACTGGAAATCTTTAAACATATAGGGGGGGGGGACAAGCTGTATCTTTTGCTACCCTATTTTCTTCTCTCAATCTTGTATCTACCTTATCGGACTTATCCCAGTTACCTACCTAATGGGTTACCTCTATTCCGGAGGGAACAGTTCCTCTATTCAGGAGTCAGCATTAAAATGTACCAACTATGCCTAAGCTATCCTAAGGTTATGGGTCTAGTCTCTGCTCTGTGTTGGGAGCAGCACCCAAGATCCTAACACCTGGCGCGGACTGGAAAGTGAGGTAGCGACACTTCCACAACCAGCCAGGAGGGACACGCCGACTTTCTCGGTCGGGTGTGAAACACCTTGTTCTTCTGTTCAATGGCTAAAACGTGAAAAAAAAAAAAAAAAAAAAAAAAAAAAAACGCTCTTTCTTGACTGAGGGTGGCGAGATCGGACAAGGCAGCATACTCAGCTGAATCTCTGGAAAAGAACAGTAACAACAGTTCTTTTTTTTTTCTGAACTCTTTTTGGGGAGACAAATCTTTTACATACAGGAGGAGTCTTGCAGACCTAGACCAATTCTGCGGGTACCTAGTAATGACCATTGACCATGTTCATGTTGACATTTTGTTGCTGATAATGCAGGTACAGAAGAGCAGCAATACAGCAGCCATTGTGCCTGAGCGGATGATGGCTGACGAGACCACTGTGCAGGCTGCCATTGAAGTCCTGAAAACTGATCGCCCTGTTTTGGAGGTTGCAAGATTTGGGGTGCAGCCTCTCGTCCGGCTTGCAGATGACTCAGACCTCAGGCAAATGATACTCCAACAGGGATGTGTACACCTGTCTGTCCAGTTGCTGAACAGATCTTGGTTGGCAGCAGAGGAGGTGTTGACTCTATGGAAGAAACTGACAATGGACAGTGTGGCACAAACGGCGATGCTGGGCACATTCGAGTCAACACGCCAAAGAATGGAGCTGAGGGAGAGACGGACAAAGATTGCTGAGGAGGGATTCCAAGAGGTGCTGCTTCCCTTGATAAGGATGAAAGAGTGGATGGTTGACCGACTGTCGCTTGCTGTATTGGCCAATATTCTGGAGGAGAGCAATGCTCGGCACATTGTCAAAACGAGCCAAGGAGTCCTAGTGAGGGAGTTATGCAAGATGATCAACCTTCAGAGCTGTGCGCAGGATGCCGGGGTGCTGACGGGTGAGAATGTCGAAATCGGAAGGTGTGTGCTGTTTCTTGTGGGCATCGAGCATAGGGATCAGATCACGCTATCGGATGTGCTAGCTGCATTAGCAATACTAGCGCAAGATGATAAAGACGAGGCGAAGAACGAGCCGTTGCTGGCAATTGAAAAGCTTCTCGGCGAAATCCGAGGAGGCGAAGATGGCTTGATTGAATCCCTGAGGGAGGCTGTAAGGGATTCACAATTCTTGGTGGTGGTGCTGTCTCTGTTGAGTGCTCGCCAATCCACGCGGGTGAACACTTCAGCACTGAAGATACTTTATGAGATGTCACATGACATGGATTGCATCGAGATGGGGGTCACCACTTATGGGTTCAACATAGTTAAGAGACTGCTGGAGATGATGGAATGGGAGGAATTCACCATGGGAGGTGTCTTTGAATTGAGCGCACAAGTGCTATCTAACTGGATTGCAAGAGGGGGCGCAACACTTCGTGCTGATCTGCTGAGATCGGGAGGCATCCCAAAACTTGTGCGGATGTTGAGAGAGTGTTGCTCCGAGGAAAAAGGCTTGTCCGAGCAAAGAGCAAGCGCCCGTGGGGACATTCTGCACATCTTTGCTAATTTGGCTGGTAGTGATGATGTATGCCGAGCCGCATTTTGCGGCATAGGAACGATTGAACTGCTAGTCAGAATTCTCCAGAACTCAGCAACGCTTTCTTCGGGCAGCTTTGCTGGGTTGATGCAAAAGAGAATGGCCAATGAGGATAAGCAAAACCCCATCGACGACGACCCTCACGGCATAGTTCCTTTCATTCTTGCACAGCTTGTGCTGTTCCCGGGATGCCGAAAGGATCTCCTGGCATGCCAAGGCCTACGAGCCATTGTCAACGCTCTCAGATCCCGCTTCAAGACCCTGATGTTCCGCGCAAATGCTGCAATGGCCTTGGAGACACTCGCAGCATTTGACGAAACTTCATGCAAGGTTGTTATATCGGAGATAGAACACCCCTACGTGATATCGATCTTGAAAGGGGATGTGTCATTGAGTGCTCGAGCAGCAGCAGCAGGACTCTTGGCGGTAATGATGAGAAGAAGAGACGGCGGGGGCTTGCTGCGCAATGAGGCCATTGTTGCTCCACTTGTGGACTGGGTCCATCTGACAAAAGATCAAGGGGAACAGGAGCAGCTCAAGGTAATCGCCGCATTTAGGCGTGTTGTCATGGATACTCAGTGTTGGCTGCAGATTGTGAAAACCAAGGGGGGAGTGGATGCGGTTGTGATTTTCATAACCTGCCAAAGGGCATGCGCCCAATGCAAGGAGATCGCTCTTGGAGTCCTGACAACGGCCATAAAAAAAACAAAAGCTTGGATGGACGAGTTCAAAGACAACAGACTGTGGGATGGGTTATGCGGCGTAAATGTCATCAACGTTTTACTCAGCACTCTAGAACGGGGAGGAATCCTTGTCGGCGAGGAGGACAAGCCACCGGGCCCCACTGCTCAGCAGAAAGGCCATCATCGTCAGCCTAAGGACGAAAGCAGTTTGTATCGTAAGGTACCCATCGATTCTGATCTGATGCAAGATGTCGCAGAAGCACTGTTTTTGCTCGTGGACAGCAATGCGACGGCCGGCAGGCAAATTCTGAAGGCAGGTGGGTGCAAGATTCTCATGAGGAGCTTGATGGGACGCCACCTGGCAGAAGGTGGTGAAGCAGATCCCTCTCTGCTTGCTCAGCAAACAACTGCCTACAACGTCTTTGATCTATACATTTGCGGTCTACTGGGCAGGCTTATGGAATATGGAATTGAGGGTGTGAAGGCAGTTTCCGAGGTCGGGGGTGCATATGCTCTCGTGTGCGTGCTGGTCCACGAATACTCGCTCGAATGGATGCTCCAGTCAATGGTCAGCCTTAGACACATGGCCAGTGCCTCTGAGGAATTCAATCAACTGGCGGGTGACTGCGGTGCTGTTGATGCAATAACAAAAGCACTGAGAGTATCTGGGATAGGAGCAGCGGGTGATTGGGCGGACAAGACACCGCTCAGTACTGCCGGAGATGACCCAGGTACTGAGCCGGTGGTCGAGACAATATGTGCCATTCCCGCATTCTTGAAGGAGGGAATAAGTGCTCTGAGTGCTCTGGCCCAGCATCAGCAAAACAGGGGGAGAATCATTAGTAGTGGTGGGATTGACGTTCTCATAGATGCTGTCTTCAAAGGAATCGAGCAGGGAGATCGGGTATTTGCCGAGGAGGCCATGGAAGCACTTTATCAGGTGAGAGACCGTGCTACAGCACACACACACACAGATGTATGTATGTATATATATACCGTATTGACGATATATATATATATACGTAATACATATAAGTATGTGAGACAGTGAGAGGCACAGTAACGGGGGGAGCTGATCAAAAGAAAGGTTTCAGTGTGATCTTCATGCTTGTCTTCTGTATTTTTGTCTTTTTTTTTATATAACTAACCTATATTCTTCTCTCGATATATATCCCACTACCTACCTACCTACCTACATGCAGCTTAGCAATCCACTACAGGGTTTTTCGTGCCCAAGGCAGGRSATCTCTCCTAAGTTCAGAAGCCACATCTGCTCTGTGCGGGGAGCAGCACCCAAGCTTCTAACACCAGGTGCGAGCTGGAAGGCGCAAATGGTCGCTCCCAGCCAGCCAGCAGGCGCAAGCCAATTATCTCCGCTGGGGGCCCAAGCCAATTATCTCCGCTGGAGGTATTTTTGTCTTTCATTTCACAAAGCGCACTCTTTTAGTCCATAGATATGTGACAATAATAGATGTATATAATATTATATTATATACATCTATTATTGTCACATATCTATGGACTAAAAGAGTGCGCTTTGTGATACATCTATTATTGTCACATATCTATGGACTAAAAGAGTGCGCTTTGTGAAATGAAAGACAAAAATACCTCCAGATGTATATAATATTATATTANAGAGATGATATATCTCTAGGGGAGATATAATATAATATTATATACATCTATTATTGTCACATATCTATGGACTAAAAGAGTGCGCTTTGTGAAATAAAAGACAAAAATACCTCCAGCGGAGATAATTGGCTTGGGCCCCCAGTGGAGATAATTGGCTTGCGCCTGCTGGCTGGCTGGGAAGCGACCATTTGCGCCTTCCAGCTCGCACCTGGTGTTAGAAGCTTGGGTGCTGCTCCCCGCACAAAGCAGATGTGGCTTCTGAACTTAGGAGAGATGTCCTGCCTTGGGCACGAAAAACCCTGTAGTGGATTGCTAAGCTGCATGTAGGTAGGTAGGTAGGTAGTGGGATATATATCGAGAGAAGAATATAGGTTAGTTATATAAAAAAAAAGACAAAAATACAGAAGACAAGCATGAAGATCACACTGAAACCTTTCTTTTGATCAGCTCCCCCCGTTACTGTGCCTCTCACATACTTATATGTATTATGTATATTATGTATATATTTATCGTCAATACGGTAGTCCCTCAAACCCAAGATACCGGTAGGTATTCCCGTGATCCTCGTGGGTGACTTCAATGCGGCTCCGGACCGCTGGTTGGATAGATGGAAAATTCCTAACCCCCTGCCCAATCTATGTCGAGAACGATGAGAGGCTAATTGCTGAATTGTCAGAATCCCTTAATATTTCGATACCTTCCGGAGATAATTCCCCACCACCTGCCGTTTTACCTGTTTTCGTAAGAACAGTGTAAAAAGGGCGTCCAAATCCCGGATAGATCTTATACTTGCCTCAGAGGAGTTACAAGGGGCGCTTCAGATAGCTGAGATTTTCCCTCGCAGCCCCTACTTGGGCCTGATCACGCAATGTGCGTGGCGATTTTCTCTTTCAGGAAAAAACCGGATCAGGGTAAAGGCTGTTACAAGCTGAACACATCCCTCCTGTCCATCGACCGCTTCAAGACCTACCTCGCACAGGTGTGGTCCTATTGGTAGGAACAAAAAGGCCAATTCCAAGACAAAATCGTATGGTTCAACAACGGCCTGGCTTTCTTGGGCCGCAAGTGCAATGAATACTCAAAACTTCTCGCGGCACGGCGCTACGCTGAAGAATCAAACCTGCAGCACCAACTGCAACAGATGCAGCAACAGGAAAACGAAACAGAGGATGACCCAAAGGAGCTCGCCAAAACAATCCAGACCATAGAAACCCGCCTTGTTGACCACATGGAGTATAGATGGCAAGGTGTGAGGATTCGAGGTAGACTCTCCAAATACAACATGGAAGGGGCCATGGACGCTAGGTTCTTTGCCATGGCCAGGGCCAAGTTAGGCAGGACGGTAATCGAAGCTTTAGAGGACCCCAAGGTCAAGCAAGGGCCCTTGCATACGTCCACAACCGCCTGCACAAAAATAGCAAGGGACTTCTACCAGGCCTTGTTCACAACAGAATGTGGGAAACAACCGACCCACCTGCGCACGGAGGAGATCGACGACTTCCTGCGCCCGCTTAATAGAACCCTTGCAGAACAGCAAAGAGACAGTTTAGACAAGCCCCTATCCAAGGAGGAAATATGGACAGCATTGCTGCAAATGGAAGACGAAAAAACTTCGGGCATAGACGGGCTCCCCAAAGAGTTCTGGGTGTCAATGTGGCCAGACATAGCACAAGATCTTATGGAATATTACTAGGGGGCTTGGGACATAGGACAAACTGGGGAGTTGGTTGGGCAGGGAGTGTTGACGCTCCTCTATAAAAAAGGGGAAAAAATTAATATCAGAAATTACAGGCCAATTACGTTGCTCACAATGGTCTACAAGATGATGGCAAAAGCACTCGCCAATCGCATGGCACCAATAATGTCGGACATCATCCACCCCTACCAAACGGGATTCATACAAGGCAGGAATATCCAGGATAATATTCTGCTGGTAAACGAGATGATTAAACTATCCAGACAGTCCAAAAATAATGCAGCTATCATCTTTATCGACTTCGAAAAAGCATACGATCACGTGGACTGGACCTTTCTAGATAGGTGTCTGGAAAAGCTCAACTTTGGACCAGATTTTAGGAGGTGGATAAGGATTCTTCATTCGAGCGCAACTACCAGGGTTATGGTGAATGGGAATCTGGCCCCCCCCATCGATCTTCAAAGGTCAGTTAGACAGGGGGACCCCATAGCCCCGTACCTCTTCGTAATTGTTATGGAGGCACTAGCTGCTAACCTAAGAACTCACAAGGACATCAGAAGAATCCAAGTGTCTGCAATACCCAAGGAAGCAATCCCAGTCTGCTCATTGTTTGTTGACGACTTGACCCTAATGGTGGATGCCTCCAGGGAATCAATGGAGGAGATACAACACATGATGGACCGATTCTGCAAACTCTCAGACATGAGAGTAAACTGGGGGAATAAAACCCAAGGTTGGTGGATCCACCACCAGGGAGTGAGACCTCCAGAGCAACCCAAACTTAAATGGCTTCCTGAGGAGGCACCCATCAGAGTGCTGGGCATATCAATGACGACAAATGGTAGGCCATCCATTAACAATGAATGGCTCACAGACCCACCCCTGGCAAAAATGGCGCTCTAGAAAAACAAACACACCTCACTGCTGGGACGTGCCTTAATAATTAACAACGTGGTGCTGGCCTCGCTATGGTACAAGTCAGCAATTTGGGCTTTGGATAAGCACGCCTTACGCCCGTTAAAGCGGCAGATCCAACCTAAAACAAAAAGGGGTCTGGGTATTATTGACCCGCTAATACAAACTAAAGCACTGGCAATACAATGGATCAAACGTCTGATCTTCAACCCTGACATTCCCTGGAAGGGGCTAGCCGTGGAACAGATGGCCCGACTGGCACCCCGAACAACGGAAGGGAGTGACCCGTGGATGTGGTTGGAAAATAGGGACTGGCCCATCCCACGGGCAAGACCGACACAACTAGATCTCGATCTTCATACCCCTAGACAAGCAGCAAGGGCTGATCTGCGCAACGATCCGTTTTGGCCTTCTCTCCTCAAAACATGGAGAAACCTCCCTCTACCGAAGAAATCCTCGCCGGACAGATGGGAGGAAGTGGCGAGGCAACCCCTCTTTGGCAACAGATGGGTGCTAGACTCAAGAGGACAAACACTCCATTGTATGGACTCTCCCTGGCAAGGATGGATTAAGTGTGGAGTGATAAGGGTAAAAGACATATGGGACATGGAGAGAAACAACTGGATAAGCCCCGAACAACTTAGGGAGAGATTGAGGTACTGTCACAGGACACATGCATCCCTGCAGGCGATAGTGGAAAGGATCCCCCTAGACTGGTGGAGAATACTTCTCAAAGGCCCTACTCTGCAGGAGTCAGACTGGGTGGCGGTGAGGGAGCGACAAGGAGAAGTAGGTAGGGTGGCCCGCTGCTCCCGCGAAGGAACAGTGACAATAAACCTCTTCCAAGTAGGCCGGGACAACATAATCCAAAGGAGTAATCCGGAAACATCCATTGAGTGCCAAAAAGGAAAGGATTTTCAGAATCAGAGTACTCGAGGAAAACGAAAAATACATAGCCTTCCAACCCTGCTCCCCGATCCATCATTTGGCTTTGGACCCGTTGGACTGGACATGGACAAAACGCATGGGGAAAGGAAGGAAATGCACCAACAAACTATACGGTCTAACAGTCAAGTCCACCTATAGGCTGCTAAGACCTACAATGAACCTCCGCGATCAGGTAGAGGAACGTTGGAGGAACCACTTAAACGTCGGTAAGGAAGAACTAAAATTGATTAAGTGGTTCAAGATGGCCAAAGCGAGGCCGGCTAAAATTACCTCCCTTCAATGGCAGCTGGAACACCGCTGTCTCCCCACCAATGACTGGCTGATAGACAAAACATCCTTGGAACAGAGAGGATGCGCCCTCCCTTGGTGCAAATTGTGCATCAACTCGTTCCCATCCAAAAAACGGCCGGAGACAATTGAACATATCTTTTGCAATGCCCGGGTGCGCTCTGGCTGTGGAGGTGGTGGGACAGAATTTGGGATCAGTTAGAAGCAAAAGCTCCGTGGCCTTGGGACTGGAAGGCGATTCTGTTTGAAATCTGTCCCAAAGGCCATACTGACCAACTCGATGATTTCACCGACAACATGTTCAAAACGGGACGAAGGGCGGTACTCTAGGCACTCTGGAGACGAGGATGCACATTTGAAATGGAAGGTGCCAGACTAGAAGCACCCGAGTTCACGGAAAACATACAACAACAGATCCAAACAGAAATAACTGGGAAGTGGGAGGGGGTCAAAAC